AAAACGTCTGAGTACCAAGGCGTTTGACAACCAAAGTACGACTGTATACTAATAGCAAACTCGGTTCTCTGAGTGTGGATCCTTATGTAGCCCAAACAGCACCATCTGTGCACTAGAGGAGGCTTGGGGAAAACCCCTGTTCTGTGAAAGTACAATTTTAAAAATGGGGGGGGGGAGAGAGAGACAACTGGGGGGGGGGGATAGCCTAAAGAGAACAAAGCATGCTTAGTGGCTAAGGAATACTGCCTGCCTAGGGGAATGGGCAGGATGCAAAAGTAGCAGGGAGGCAGAATGGAATGGCATATCCTGGAAGGGGGCATGGATGGGACCCTGTACATTTCGTAGACCTCTTCACTGGAGTGTCATGGTCCCAGAGAAAGCAAAAGACACCCTGTACTCAGAGAAATAGAGTGACAGAGGAACTGGTGGGAAGCAGAATGTTGCGGTGGGAGAAATACCTGTCACAATACAGATCTAAATTTAGTCAGAATAACAGTACCTAGGACTGCTCTTTTGTAAGTGATTAGGAAGTGGAAGCAGCCGTCTCTTGCAGTACATCCTCTGAGAGCCTGGAGATGGGGAGGTACAAACAGCACACAATGTTTTGTGCATATTTGAGAGCTGGGTTGTTTTTTTACCCCCACCCCCTGCTGTCAATGGCACCAAGAGCTGTGGGAATAATGTGCTTTACCTTCTGAAATATCACACCTTGGGCACTAGGGGGGCTTCGATTCCCTTAACGATGCCTCAACCCGGGCCTGAAGCAATTTCCCTGAAGTGATTAAATTAACCTAGATTAATCTCAGGCAACAAAGGGTACTCTGAAAGGTAATTGAAAGTGCCTGAAGAATATGGAGGTGGTGTGGTGAGATGGCTGGCTCCGGAGGGAGTCGCTGAAGGAAATCCAAGGAAGAAGAGAGCTTGGAATTGTATTTGTGCAATGAAGATCATTCCTAATGAGTTTCTCGAGCTGGCAGGCTGCTGATTTCCTAGAATGGAACGTTAACATGTCTGAGTGACTTTTCACTGCCCTTGCCTGATGTGAAGAAAGGGCTGCACAAATGAGAACAAAAAGCATCTCTTCTGGATAAGTTATCTGATGCTGACACTGTAAGAGAGGCAATCTTCACAATCAGATTGGGCAAGGAAATTGATTTGGTCAGGTCCAGCATGATTTATCTCCTGTGTATGAACACTGCGGCTAGGTTGCTTGTGAGGACAAGCCAGTATATAATACCTTGCTTGTGGGATTTACAGTGTCTGCCAATTTGCTACTGGTGCAAGTTAAAGCTGCTGGTGCAAACTACTTCCTCCTCCTCCTCCTCCTCCTCCTCTTCTTCTTCTTCTTCTTCTGGAGAGCCAGTGTGGTGTAGTGGTTAAGAGCGGTAGTCACGTAATCTGGGGAACCGGGTTCGCGTCTCCGCTCCTCCACATGCAGCTGCTGGGTGACCTTGGGCCAGTCACACTTCTTTGAAGTCTCTCAGCCCCACTCACCTCACAGAGTGTTTGTTGTGGGGGAGGAAGGGAAAAGGAGAATGTTAGCCGCTTTGAGACTCCTTTGGGTAGTGATAAAGCGGGATATCAAATCCAAACTCCTCCTCCTCCTCCTCCTCCTCCTCCTCCTCCTCCTCTTCTTCTTCTTCTTCTTCTTCTTCTTCTTACCCCACCTTTCCCCCCATAGAGGACTCAAGGTGGCTTACAGATAAAAACAAGAATCGCTAAAAATATAGAAAAACAACAACCATTAAAACAATTAAACATTAAGAGAATAAAAACTATATACATATTCAAAATTTGTTTAAAACTAGATGGAAAGGAGAAATAGAGCTGGGTTTCATCAGCATACTGGTGACATCAGACCCAAAACTCTGGACAACCTCTCCCAGCAGTTTCAAGTCCCATCCCAGCAAGGTGGCCCAGAAGGATGCTATGGTTGATGGTATCAAAAGCATGTATTTTATGTATTTTAACTGTTTTTAATTATCTTTAATCACCTTGAAATGGTCGTTTCGAAGGCAATTAGTTAATTGAAATACCAACAATAATAGGAGAGGGTATCCATTCTGCTGCTAGGAGGTGGAGATGGTTGGATTTTGTCCTATATACTTAGTACTAATTCACACCAGGGTTTTGGTGCGTGTTTGTGGCTTTTAGACTGTGATCACAAAAGCTCATAACACATACCTGCAGTTACACTCGGGGCTGCCTCTTGTGTTTGTTTACTTAAATATTTATATCCCATCTTTCGGCCTTGAAGTTTACAAGGTAGAGAAGAACAAGAGTTTTTTTAAAAAATCCATCAATTAAGGGTTTAGAACATTCCTCAGTGTGGATTGCCTGCAGCCACCATGCTAGCAGTAAGCCAGGTCGGGCACTTCACTGGCTGAGGTGTCCAAGGGGCTCAGAAGGACTCCTTTACTGGCCTGACTCAGCTGTGCCACTGCTCCCTGCCAGCCCTATGAAGTCTGGTATCTTTTTGGTCCTTCTTGCGCTGAGCTTCCAGAGGGCATAATGCAATGACATTGGCTGCACTTAAGCATGGGACTTATCACACTAGTTTTCCTGATTAGAATACTTATGTCCTGCTCACATACAGTGGTACCTCAGGTTACAGACGCTTCAGGTTACAGACTCTGCTAACCCAGAAATAGTGCTTCAGGTTAAGAACTTTGCTTCAGGATGAGAACAGAAATTGTGCTCCGGCGGCGCAGCAGCAGCAGGAGGCCCCATTAGCTAAAGTGGTGCTTCAGGTTAAGAACAGTTTCAGGTTAAGAATGGACCTCCAGAACGAATTAAGTACTTAACCCGAGGTACCACTGTACTTTCAACAGGCATCTGGGTGGCCACTGTGAGAAGAGGATGCTAGACTAGATAGGACTTCCCCCCTGAGCTACTTTGACTCTTCTGATGTACTTATGTCCTGTGCTAGGAATGGTGTCTTCTAAAAAAACAAACTGTAAATCACTTTTTACATTGAACATGTTACAGAGTTAGTATTAGTACTGAGAATAAAGTCAAAATGAAGTAAAAACCATCTTTCTGTTTAGATTCTGTTCTGTTTTAAAGTCCTGGGCAAAGACCTCTCTGCCTGGTTTTTCTCAAGGTTTGCCTGTGCATTGAATAATTCAGCATTTTAATTATTAATTGGTTAATGTTTGTTACAAATTCAGAAGATGAAAAGGGCTAGATAAGTGCCGAGTGCAGTTGGCTCCCTTAGGGAAGTGGGCCTTATCAGGAGTGTTCAGTTTTTATATGTGGGGATTGTTCTGGTGTTTTACTATTAACTGGATGGCAGCCATCAGACACAATTTTAGAGGAAGCCAAAAGTCTAAGGTTAAATAATAATGCGCAATGTTTTCAACAGGCATAGGATGGTCTAGGCAAAGAATGGCTCCAGCAGTGCAAATGGTGGGGGAAGTAAATAACCTGCTCCAGTAAACAGGAATAAATTATCCCTTCCTTTCCCTGCACATGCTGTGTCCTCCCCAAATCAGCACCAGAGGGTTTGGGGAACCTCAAAGAACAGATTTAGGGGAGGAAGATTGGGGGGGGGGGAGAGGAGTTCTGTTGTGCAGGCAGAAATCCTTGCACTCATTCTGATTTGTTTGCAGGGAGATGGGGTGACACTGGCTATTTCATACCCTCCAAGTGTCCCGATTTTCTGGGGACAGTCCTTGAATTATAAAAGTCACCCCAGCTTCTGATTTGATCCTGGAATGTCCCTATTTCCTTCACCAGTGCTGCCACCACCAAGCTTGGGGAGGAGGATGAGCCAGCACTTGCCCTCAGTGACGGCAGCTGTGGCTGCTGCAGCTGCTGCTGCGAGGGAGTATACCGTTGCCTCTCCACGGTCTCTCCATGACCACCATTGCAAGCCCCCCTCCCTCTCTTGGGCAGCTCAGAGCAGCTGCTGGAGAGCAGGTGAGGTGGGGGAGAGGCTGTTGCAGCCAAGGCCTAGACCCATGTGACACTGAGGGGCAGGTAGAGGACAGGGCTGCCCTGGGTGGGAGGAAAGGGAGAGCAGAGCAGAGCGCAGGGAGTCTTGATTTTTTTTTTTTAATGCTTCATGCATCCACATCTATTCTTGCCACTTTCTATAATTTATTTATTGGTGCGTATTTTTTTAAAATCTACCAACTAATAAAATAAAATAGTCCCTATTTGCATCTGAGGAATTTTGGAGGCTATGCTATTTAATGAGCACTTACAGTGGTATCTTGGGTTAAGTACTTAATTCGTTCCGGAGGTCCAGTGGCTTTTCTTCCCAGGTGGAAGTGCTCAGAATTGCATCCTTCATCTGTGCTCAGTGTCTTTTCAGTATATATCGCATAAGGGCTGCATGGAGTGGTTTTTATCATTATTGTTATTACTATTATGCCACTGGCTGTGCGATAAAATTCCTCCGTAATGTACCTTTCCGCCCTTTTCCTTAAAGAAAAAGCTGGCTTAAGTGAGGCATCTATTTTCATTAAAAAGAAAAGGTGGCACAATGTCATTACTGAGACAGAAGGTTGAAAGCTGCGCTGTGAAAAATGTAAAATGTATGGGTGCCAGAAGCTCAGATGGGAGAGAAAAGATCGGTCACGTTGCATTGGCATATGAGAGCGCTGGAAGTCTTACCCTTTACAAAGCGGTCCTGTTGTGGTGAAGGTGGTGGAGATTCCTTTGAAGGAATTACACAATGTCCTAAGCCTTGCTGGATTGCTGTGTGACCAAAGTGGGTGGTGGGTGGCTTTCCCCCACTTCCTCCATTTTTACCCCTGTCCTATTGCAGTCAACGACCTGCTTAGTGCAAATGTCTGAATGTGCGAGCTGCCAGAGAGGAGAGTGTGGCCTCTTTGGTCCTCTGCTGCCCTGTTGTGAGCTGAGACATGGCTTCGCTTAGAGTGCTGTCTGAAAATATGGTTCCTCTTTCATCCGATTCCAGCACCTGTTTCTCGTCTAAGGTTTAGACCCATCATCTCATCTGAGTTTCTTTTTTTTCTCTCGGTCTCTTGCAGCAATTTAGAGACGGAGAAGTTCTGCGGTAAGTAGGCCATTTACTTCCTTGCTATGAAAAATGTACTTCTAGGCATGTTATTCAGTAAGTGCCCACAAAGCATGTGGCTTTTGCTCCTCTGTTGAAGTTTATCCCCCCCCCCCAAGATGGGGCACTAGACAAAAAAGAGGTTTCCTGGTGATAGAATACTCCGTACTTCAGGGTAGAGAAGAGATACTTTGGGGGAGAGATGTAGCTCAGCAGTGGAGCATCTTCCTTGCATGATGAGAGACCCGGGTTCAATCCACATCATCTCCAGATATACCTGAGAGTGAGCCTGCCTGAATGTGTGGGAAGCTGCTGCCAGTCCGTGTAGACAATACTGAGCTAGATGGAACAATAAGTCTGACTCAGTAGAAGGCAGCTTCCTGTGTTCCCATGTACTCTATGATACTACTGGCCACTCCCCCCAGCGATGACAACACAGATGTAAATATTAGTAGAGGCAACATTTCTTTAAAAAGCAGGTGTGGGACAAAACTGGCATGCCATTTTGAAATCTTCACAAGCTGTTTCTCCTACTGCAGAGTATTTCTCGGACTACCTTGGAGAATACAGGCATGTCCTGTCTGCCTTGGAGCAACTCAACACTGCTGTCCTGTCAGCCATGGATAAAACCAAACTGGTAGGTGTGCATTCATTCTGATATGGGCATGAATGGAGCCAGTAATATATGTTTTGACACTGACAGCTTTAATTAGCCCTCAATCACTCTTTGCATCCAACTCTTTATAATGGAACATTAGTTCATGTGTGAGTATCCCAGGATGAATAAATAGGCAATAATTAGGCATCCAGTCAATGAGGCTCATAGTGCAATTGTATTCCTGTGTGTATGGTTCTCATGGTTCTCAAGAGAAAAGCTGAAGTTTTTATTTCATAAACAAAAATATAGATATAATGAATTCATTTTATTTTTCTCCAAACTGGAATAAGGCTTTTAGAGACAGTCCACTTGGGTCACTGTTCTTTCCAGTGCCTCTAATGTCTGAGGACTTGTGAATCACTTTGCCTCATATCCAGTAGAAAAACTTTCTAGGCTTGATAGTGAGTTTGTGAATAGAGTTGCCAGTTTACAACCCGAATGTTTTCTATACACCTTTAAAAGTTCTGCATCTGTAGCTGCAATCCTAACCACACTTACTAGGCATAAGTTCCACTGAATAAAGTAGGACGCATTTGAGAAGATGTATATAGAAATGCACTATAGGAGAACAGGTGCAGTCATACCTTCTCCTGCTCTGTTCCTCCGTCATTCCTGTCTCCCACCCGCTCCCACTCCCAATTTTGCTTTGCAGCATGGGGGAGGGGTGAGCTCAGTGGAGGAACAGGTCAGTTTGGGCTCTGTCATTTCCAGCAGAACTAGGAATGTTCTCAAAGGTATGAGTGCAACATCTCTAAAGGGCATTGTTTGTGGAACCTCCAGGGGTCCAAGTTCCCTTTTCAGGTGCTGATAATGTTAGGAAAGTTCAGACACTGATGTTGTTGTCCATCATTTTGAAACTCTGATTCCATCCTATTTTCTAGCTAATTAAGATGACATGTTATGTCTGTTGTTTATTATTATTTGTAAATGTATTTACATTTACATTTGCTTAAATCTATTCACAACAGTATATCATACTTAATGTGTCCACACTAGTTATTTCATTAGTTTTATCTTGATTCCAGTACAGAATAAATGGTGCCCAGTTCTATTGAATCATCTTATTTTCTTCATCACCACTATATTTCATGCCTTCTTTAGCTATTGTTGGGTTGTATCAAACTTAGTTTTAGTCACACTAAACCTACTGAAATTAGTGGACCTAAGTTAGTTGTTCATTAATTTCATTAGGTCTACTCTGAGACCCAATTGCAACATTGTCAACATCTGTGACACCAAGACATCCAATCTTTTCTCATCCTATGTTTCACGTACCCTGGAAGCATTGTAACTGGGTTCATTTGTTTGTGACATCTCATTATTTATATGATAGTATTACTAATTTTTCCCCAGTGGTTGATATTATTATGAATAACAATTTTGATTGTTCTCAGCAATGAATTCAGAAGTTGTTGCCTCCTAGGAAATGGCTGTAGTCAGACTTCACAAATCCAAAGTGATTTGGTGAAAAAAAGTCATTAATTCCATAAGGATAAAAAAATCTGTTTGAGATGAGAATCTGTTTTTCAGGGATAATCTGTGAGTGCAAGATAGGCATCTATTTAACTGAATATGCTCCTAGCAGAGAATTAATCACTGAGCTTAACTGTACAGCATTTGTTTCTTTTTGCAAGCTCCATTTCTGTAGCTAAAAGGCAGAAAGTCTTAGCAAAACCTAACCCTGTGAACCCTCTTAAAACCTTCTGCCAGTGTTTTATGTTTGCAGTTGAGTGCCCTCCATGTTAAACCCGATGTGTGTGAGAAAATCTTAGAGAATAATGAACGAGAAAACTTCCTGGGAATTGTTTTGTTTTCCTTAAATGTGCAAAACAATTTCATTTTTGTGCCTAAATGCTTTCTCTCATTTAGGATGAGAGGAAATCGCAGAGACTTGGCCTTTCAGGTGGAATGTCAGGTGCATGCATGTGAAAATATTTCTGGGTCTTTCAAGGTCAATATTTAATGGTTGGAGAAGATTCATATGGTACTCCTTACCCTCAAGCATTATGTTAGCTGTAAAAAAAAGAAAAGAAAAAGACTGTGATTGGGTGTGCACACACCTGTTTACTCTGCATCCAGTGTGCTGCCATCACGGGTTTACCAAGAAGTGTACACAAGACATTAGCCACAATCCATATCTGCCCTGAAATAATGTGCATTGATGCATTTTTTTTTCCAAACCAGCTTTGCTCTGAATTGAGATAATGAACAAAATAACTGTGTTTCAAGCCAGTAATGTCAACAGAGCCTGAAACAGCAAATGATTTTTGCCATTTCTAATTTTTTTTCCTGGGTGAAAATGAGGTTTTAAGTAGACCTGAAATATTTCCTAAAACTAGGATGGATTTAAAAGGACTGTGTTCTTTGTGAAGGGCAGAAGTGTTGCCAACTGTTCTTTTCCTCACAGGGCTTCTGCACTATTGTTTGCAATGCAGAAGTTCAGTTCATTGGACTTTTCATATCACCTCATCCCTATTCTAGAACGCTTTACCTGCTAAATTTTTGCCTGTTAAAAGTCTGGGACGGAGGGAGGGATTACAGGAAGAGAACTGGTAGAGCTGACCCTCCAGAGAGACTTTTTGGAGAAAAGAGGCTGGAAAATTTCCTTCCATGATCTTCCTTCAGTTAACGTATGAGCCACATCAATATATGTGCTTGGCTATGCACTCTTTAAGGAGATGGGTGTCAAAAAAAATTAAATCATTTCAGAAAATTAAAAGAAAGTTCCTTAGTTGCTATAAAAAAGCCCAAATGTTTAGACCAGAAGGTTGCCAATTAAATGAAAGATTCAAAATAGGGCTGCTGACTTTTCTTCTAGAAGAGGTTGTTTAACAGCAGGATGAGGGGCAAAAATTCAACAGGTGCAGCCCTCCCAGTATGGAGGTGCTTTATCTGGGAAAGTATTAATAGGCTAAGGTAGCATCAGCTTCTGCTTGCCTCAGCAGGAGTCTCAGTAGGCAGAGGAAGAGGAGAAAACGCATCTCATTATGCCAGGCTGTATGGTTGCAAAGGTTGCTCAATGTGAAAAGCTCCCAGTGCTGATGGAGAAGGAAGGAGAGACATTTGGATCCTGGAAGGATTCCATCCTGGAGAGAAAATGGCAGGGGCTCAACAATGCAACAGCAGATCAATAATGTATGCTGCTAAAGGTCCCAAATGGGGAGGCATTATATTAGGCTGTCACGCAGGCATCCTTCTTCAAGTGGTCCCAGAGTCCTCTAAAGTGATGCATCTCAGATGGATTTTACCTGAGTTCCCTTCTATTTGTCAAAAGGGAGTTCATCCAAACCTTATTCGATATCCTGTGCATTCAAGGGCGGGCTCTAGCACAGTGGGTGAGCACCTGCCTTGCACCCAGAAAGTCCCAGGTTCAGTCCCTGGTGTCACCAGGTACAGCTGGGAAAGCCTCACAGCCTGAAATCCCAGAGAGCCACTGCCAGGCTGTGTAAACAATACAGAGCTAGATGGACTATTGGTCTGGCTCTGTCCATCCCATTTCCCTTTCAATTTCTCTCTCAGGTATTTACATTGTTCAAGTTTCTTCATATATTGATGTGGCCACTTACGGATTATTCACTATAGCGGGGCTGTAGAAGGGTACGTCACATTTACCTAGAGGGGAGTTGAGCCGTAGGGTAAGTTGCATCTCATGCTGCTCAAGTGATGTCAGAAGAACCGTGAAGATATGCTGCCTTGTTTGGAGAACCATCAAGGCTACTCTGAACTTCCACACCTCTCAGGGAAGGTTGAACAAAACAATGCTAAGACCTAACAGTTCTTTATTGATTTACATGGGGCTGCTTGTCTTCCAGCAATCCATTATGTAATACAGTGCTGAGACAGCATTGATTGCTAAGCAGGAGGTTATATTTATTATCATGTTCCCAGGATTTAGAGCAATCTGGTGGCTTCTAGATGTTTTGGACTACAACTCCCATGAGTCCCTGCTAGCCATCTGGTTGGCAAAGACTTATTTGGAGCAATACCATCCAGACAAGCTTTGATAGGGGGAAACGGAAGGCCTAACTTGATGTGAGCCATGACTGGATCTCCCAGTATCTTTTTTTCCTTTTTCTTTTTTTGGAAGGTTGCTCAAAACACCTAACAGAGTGTCTAAACTGGGAGACAGCCATTTCTCTGATCAAAATGACATGGAGCTAATAACCTTGCTGGAAATGGGAAAGAAAAGATATGAGGAACTTGTTTGTCCTTTTTCTTCTCCTGTGGGTGTTTTGATTGGGGGAAATGGTGCAAGGAAAAGGATTAGACCCCGAAGCATCAGGACTCAAATCTCATCTGCCCACCCCCATGTCCGCTTTTAAACTTTCAAAAAGTTATTGGGAGATCTGAATTTCCATTTGGCCCCAAACTACTTGCCTGTTTATTGAATTTTTGCCCAATCCAGCAAGTAGAGATAAATAATTCTGTGCCAATCACCCTTCCCAAAGACTTGAACAAATGAATGTTGCATTTAGCTGTCGGTGAAAATATGCCAGTACGGGGAAGAGACACAATCCCATGAGGAGAAACATCCACAATCGGAGGGGGAGGGGAGCTACCACATAGAAGGCCCTGAAGCCATGTACAACTAAATCTCCATGGCAGGAGGGGGGAAAATTCACACATGAAAATGGCTCTTAGTGTCTTCTCTTTGGGGTCTTCAGCATTTAACAATCCTTTGTCTCTGCTCTCATGATTACAGTTCTTTTCCGTAGGAACTGAAAGCATTCAAACTTAATAATACAAGTAGTATCACTGGATTCTATTTTGGACACAAATGTATTGGAGAGATAATTCAAAGTGCTCAGCAGGAGGGGAGCATGATAGATTTCTGCTGTTTCCTGTGATTCAATTCCCCTATAGTAATAGGCATGGCCCAAAGGTCACATCTAAGCAGGGAGCCTGGTATTTGAATGGGATGCCCACTTCTCTGACTTGATTAAGGCATATGTGCACAAAGTGGGCCTATCTCTAATCTG